ACACACAGACACCGACATCCTCTGCCTTCTGTGCTCAGGATTCTTTACAGAACAGTCTCCCCTCTTCCTGACGCAACACTATCCTGGTCCCCTTCCATGTGTACTGATCCCCACATGCAAGCTCACGGCCACAGCCCTCCTGAGCTCTCCAACGCCCCCCAAAGCAGGACCTGAGCAAACTCCCGTGGCTACCTCTGCAGTCCTGTCCTCCCTCTCCTTTCACGGCAGATTGCCGACTTTGCTTTCAGTTACTTCCTTTCACCCCATCCCAGCCGGCTCTGCTTGCCCACCCCACTGCTCTCGGATCCTCTCCCCTTGCTGCACAAGCCACTGGTGCTCATCTGGTCTTCCTGGATCTCAGCCACCTAACTGGGCAGCACAGATGCCATCTAAATGTTCCCCTGTCCTGGAGATGCCTCCTCTTCCTGCGTCTCCCTGTCCTTACTCCTGCTCTAGTGTTGCAGCAGCCTCAGCTCAGCTCTCATCTGTCCTGTCCCTGGCCACTTGTCATTCCCTGGTGTCTCAGCTTCGCCCCTCCCCAATCTGCCCACAACACGGTAGCTACAGACAGAGGACGTCATGCCTCTGCCCCAATTCCACTCAAAACAAAGCGCAGGATTTGTGGCCCCGCCCAGCTACTCAGGCACCCGAGGGCCTCCTGCAGCCCCTGTGCCCTCCACTGGAACTCCTCCAGGAAGCACACCATCCTGCTCAGTGCCACCTCAGCAGAGTCCTCCACTGTCCTGCACAAAGTGCAGTCCCCTGCTGCCACCGAGGTCTGCCCCACCCCTGCTTCATGTGCTCTTCCAGACACTTACTAGCAACTACAGTGTTGTTTCCAGGCCTGCCTCCCACCCAAACATAAGCCCTCCCTTCACCCACACACCCAGCACTCACCAGGGCACCCGGCAAAGAGCAAGCACTCGGTAAACACCTGCTCAAATCCAAGGCGGGTGGGTGGGACAGAGGACTAAGGAGGAGGAGGACGAGGACTAGGATGAGGGGGGAATGAATCACAGGTGGCGAGCACATCTCTGTGCTGAGAAGCTTACCGTTTTTGGAGAACTTTACGTGTCCTTTCTCAATATCTAGGTAACAGCCAATGGTATCATGCATAGTGAATTCCTAGAAATGTGCAAAGAAAACAGAACCTTCCATGAAGTTAGGAGCCAATGTTTCAAGAGAATCTCTCCAGGGGGTAATCTGGGTGGCAAAGTGCCTGCCAGGGCAGTCAACACAGGGCAATGGACGCCTGAGACTCCTCGGAATCGGCTCAGTCAGGCTCCACACTGTGGCCTCAGACTCGCAGAACAACTGTCCTTATAGCCGTTGTGACCAAAAGTAAGAAACGAGAGGAACATTTCTACAAGCCAAAGCCAAAACTAGAAGAGTAGAAAGACAATGTGTGGGCCAGGGGTTTAGCTCAGTGGCATAAGCGCAAGTGCAAGGTCATGAGTTTGATCCCCAGTACAAAAATAAAAGATAAAGCAGTATGTTTTGGAGGGATCAATAAATGGTACAAAAAAAGAACTATAACTACAACATATTTATTTATCTGGTGTTGTACTGTTTCTCCACTGAAATCCAAATCTGAATTTTCTGTGGAAAATATACAGAAAATTCACTTGTCTGTGTGAATCATTTCTACATCCTCAGTTCTCAAATAGGCAAGAAAAAACACTAATTCTATGCTTAGGACCTTCCATTAGAGCTTACCTCTCCATAATTATCAAACTGTTTATTGTGGGATTTCTTTCCTGTTCCACCAAAGCCAAATCCAAACTTGTCAGTACCTACATGTGAAAAGCAGTGATCTGGTAAGAATAGATGGAAAATTAAAAGCCCAGAGCAAGAAATAATTTTATAGCTCCATGTAAAAAACAAAGCAAAAAAGCAGGGAAATTTCCTGGCTGCCACAGGGTGAGCCCCTTTCCTCCTCTATCCCCTCTGCCATGCTGCTTCCTGGGAACAGGATACCCATGGACGCAACTCCCCAAAAGTGAATCAAATCAAACCTTTCCTTCTTTAAGCTGTGGCTGTCAGGGATTGTACCCCAGCAACGGAAAGCTAGTATACCTGACTCAGCTTTTATTCTTAACCTTATTCCCCCCAACTTCACAGCATTGTATTTTGGGGGCTAGGATTTAGCTCAGTGGCACCAAGTGCCTGCCTGGCATGTCCAAGGTTGTGAGTTCAAATCCCTGGTACCAAAAAAATAAAAAATAAAATTAAAAAATACATATGTAAATATAAGTATGTATGCTTTTTTTTTTTTTTTTTTTTTTGGTGAGTTTTTTCAAATCTTTCCCAGAAAAGAGGTACAGCTAAGTATTACTTTTATGGCCACAGAATGCAATGGAAATCTTTAATGGTTAATTCTATTACTTTGTTTTCCAAAATAATAAACACTCACCAAGGTCTAAGGATGCCTGCATGGTAGACCACCCGACTCTGCAGAGCCCTTGGTCGTGACAAGATACCTCATAGTAGTGTTTCCCTAAAGAAAAGACACGTCTGGTTCATACAAGTCACACAATGCACAATCCGTTGATTGCTTCCCACTGCTTCTGAGCCACCCTTGCATGTCCCACATGGAGACCTTTCATGTCCTGGGTTTAAAGCTATTTCAGGGAGAGACATGCACCGCCCCAGGGTCTCGGGTCTACGCCAGCACAGACACAGCCCAGTACCTTTCATCAGTCCTTTGGTAGCTCGGCATCCATGCCACTCCTTTACTTCTCTGCTTTGACAACAAACCCCATCCGGCCCAATTGCTGGGTTTGAGAAAGAATACACAGAACTTCTCAGTACAGGCCCCACATACACCACATCTGAAATCAGCGTCTCTCAGCAGAACACCTGCTGGCATGCACAGGATGCCGAGTTGCACCCAGTTCCACAGATTGAGCAATAGTATGAGTCTCAAGGCTGAGAGAATCTGGTTGATCCGAGGTGATGGCGCTATGTCCTGGAGGTCAATAGCCCGTCATCCCCTGGACATCCTCAGCTCCCTTAGCGCTGGTCTCTGTACTGTCACCTGTGAAAGGACGAGCTCTGACAGCAGCAGTCTCAGAACCAACGCCGTCCCCATCTGACTTGCACTAACGGAAGCTACACCAATTCTGCAGAAGCCTTTAGAGTAACAGGTGCCTGGGAGGACACAGCACCTGCCGAGTTCACACTTAGGTTAGGGTTGGAGTCACCGTGGCCCTAGCCGTAACTGGAACTGCCTGCCCTGTTCTCCAATCCAGAAACCTGAATGGAAAAGTAGGAAGGGCTTATAAATAAACAGGCTCCTTCAGGGACGGTTCTCAGCACTCCTGGGAGGTCCCTGAGTTGCACAGCCGCCCCGAGCTGCAGTTCCAACGTCCCAGCAGTCTCTCCACAGGCAGCAGGGTGGCCAACAGCTTTGTGTGTGTGTACTGGGCCCTACCAGCGAGCCTCTGCTGGACACTGACTGCCCAGGCGAGGCCAAGCTATTCTGATGGCTGTCACCCCCCCAAGTGACTCACACCATCACCTGGTACCTCAGACGGGCCCAGAGCGAGCCTCACCGTGACCTGAACTCCCACCTTTCCTTTGCCCTGGGTTTGAACACTAAGTGCTTTGTGACCACGTGGATTTGCTCATCCATCACCTGCCTGCTAATACTCTGCCCATTTCAGGACACTGCTAAAATGTACATATCATCTTCTACGTTTAATGGTCTTTACATATACAGATATACATACACATTTTAAATCTGAATGAGCATGGAGTTTATTTCCAATTATAACAGGAGCTAAAAGTCAATTTTACATTGTTTCAGACGCTCATCCTTGTACCACACCCACCCTTTACTGAATAAATCTTCCTTTTCCCACTGAAACAAACACTATTTTTCCTGTGTGTCAACTACCTGAAGTACTCACCCTGATTTCCATCACATCCCACTATCCCCACTTTACTATTCTGTTTATTGCCTTCCAGACTGTATTCTAACACCTGGTACCTCATGCCATTTGCTAGACTTTTTCATCGTTGTCTTGGTATTCTTACATTTGTTTAAAGTTTCTGAGTTACAAACAAGCAGGGAAACCAACGTACTCACCAAAAGCAGCGCCTCTATCATACGGGTTCATCTGCCATTTGTTGAGCACTATACAAATTAAAATAAGAAAAGTTACTCTGAACACAGGAAATGCGTCAGAAAAATGACAGCCAATACTGCAGAATCAACATGGTTTCACACATTGCTTAGAACAAACATATAAAGTGATGCTGCCTAGATTAGAAGCAAAACTGGAAAACTGGGACTAAAACGTCAGGATCACAACCTCCGGGCTGTGTGGAACAGCGTCCCCTGCTCCCCTTCAGTGCGCTCGGCACAGGGGACAGTCACTGCCCTTCACTACCGGTCACCACTCAGCCTGAGCTTAACCACAAAGGAAAAACAGCCCAGCATTTCGAAGTCCAACCAAGGACCTCAATCATTCTGAAAGGAAAGTGACTCCTCCACCGTCATTCAGAATCTTAATCGAAAGTCATACATCTTTGCCTCCTAACTTCCTGGGACTGGCATTTTCCCGTTCTGAAGCATCCTAATGGTACGGACAATCAGAGAACTGCAATAGTTTAAGAGAACCCTGCGTGTTTTCAAGTCCAACTTCCCACTCAAAGTAGAAACCCTCTCCAGCTCATCTCTGGTGCAGAAATACCCGCCACCAATGGATCTGGAGAAAAAACATTCCTGAGGTTCTCTCTCCTCCTGCCAGCCCCCACTGGGCTACTAGAAGGTATGTACACTACACAGAAGTCTTCATCTACATCACTTCGACTGGTTTTTGTCCTGCTGTCCAGCACAATTATTTCCTCTCCGGACCTCTTCAGCAAGTCAATAGCTGTGCTATCTTCTTGTACTTCTTTTCCACCTCTATGTATTTATTCTTCAGACAGCCTGGTTTTCACAGCTGTCATCAGCCTTTAAAAGCATTGTCTTTCATCATCAGCTCTGTAACTGATGGCAGACAATTATAAATTTTGAAATTATTTTACAATGCCTCAAGTCTGAATGGCATTGCCATTACCTCACAACTCATTCACAAGTAAATTCACTTTATGAACCATGTAACATTATTTCAAAACACTTGGCAACAAGTGTCTGTCCCCTGGAAGCTTGCTATTTTGTCACAGTCCTGTATCTCAAACAAGGATAGCTTTACAGGAGATACACTGTGTCCAAACGTAGCAAAACCACACATTAAGATTTAGAAATCATTTAACAAAAGCAACAGTTTAAAAATGAAACTCATGTAAGAGGGTTCATGATAGAGACAGTATCTGAGACCTACTAAAAGGACCAATCTCTTTGTAGATTAGATTGAAAATAAGAAACTTACTCTACAATTTACAATGTATTTTTAACTTTTCAGGCTCTTAGTACCTTAACAGGAAAGAGCCTCTTTTATCTGCATAAGGGCAATACAGTACTTCCCATCATTATGTGCTTTTATTTGTAAAATCCTTTCTTGGTACTTTTGCAAAATGATGTGCCAATTTATCTCTATTAGGTATAAAGCATCACAGCTAAGGAAAATCCTAAAATCAGTATCATTTCTAAAATGCCAGAGTTTCCTCAAAAGTACACTATCCCTATTTTAGGGGCCACTGGTTCTCAACGTTTAGCATCCCTGGGCCCATGCCACCCCTACTTACAGGCAAGCAAAAAAGGTCTATCCAAATCCACCTTTCCATACGCCAGGAATGAGAACAACCAATGCATACAAAAGAAACACCAATTTAGAAAAATTACCTGAAGCACCAGTTTTAATCGTTGTTTTTCCTTTTTTGCCTTCCTGTTGGTCTTTCAGAGTTTCATATACTATCTGGATAACTGGAATACTGAATGCCTATCAAAGAAGTTCTCTGGTCAGTATTCAGCATCAGAAGTTAACAATAATTATAGCCAGGCGTTGGTGGTACACACCTGTAATCCCAAGACTTCTCTCCCAAGAAGCTGAGGCAGAAGGACTGCCATGAGTTCAAGACCAGCCTGGACCAAGTAAGTTTGAGGCCAGCTTGAACAGTGAGAATTTGTCTCAAAAAACCAAAAGTAAATAAATAATAATAAAATAAATCATCACATCATCACTACCACATAAATGGTAAGAGTCAGGCACACACACTGGAGAATCCACCTCCTTCACCCGGCTGCTCCAATGTCATTTACCCAAATCCAAAATGCCAGTAAGATCAAAGTGAGCTGACTGAGGAACACAGATGTTGACAGCTAGAAACACAAACAGTAAGATCATAGGATGAACGCAGAGAGCCGTGTGTGGTGGCACGTGCCTGTCATCCCAGCACCTGGGAGGCTGAGGCAGGGCAATCATTATGCATGCAAGCCCAGCCTGGGCTACACGGTGAGTTCAAGGCCAGCCAGGACCACATACTAAGATAGTGTTCCAAAGAACCAAAAAAAGGATTAACCCCAAAGAAGAAAAATAAACTGTTTCTCCAGGTTATGCCAACAGTACATCAACCTCTATTTGCAATGTTTGTTATAAGAGATGCTCCTTAAAATTTTCATAAACCCTAGCAATACGTAACTCTCCACCCTCTTCTGTATATCTTCAGCTTGCTGGCAATGGGGATCTCACTCGTGATGGCAAAGCATCTACTTTCTACCGTGGCTTTATTACTATTTCAAAGGAAAACCTTCTGTTCAACGACACTTTAAAATGCAGCCCTCGAAGATTCTGTCAATTGTAACCTGTTACTTACCCCGGTTTTCCCACTTCCTGTTTCTGCAGCCTGGAATGGGAGGAAGAGTTGGTGTCACAGTTTGCCGAATAAAGAAATCAAATTAACACAGTATGTGGAAATCTACAATGCCTGGCTGCACTGCTGCGAGTCTGTCACCTCTCCTGACCCCCGAAGCACCTGCTCTGTCCTTTCTTCCTCCAAGGGAATCCTGCATCCTTCTTATCAAGACGCAGGAAGCTTCCAACTGCCCCACAGGGCCACACAGCACTGCTTCCCAGCAGGTCCCCACAAGAGCACAGCTGGCCGCAAACAAACCTGCTGCCCACAGACGCCCACATCCTCTGCCAAGGATCCGACCCACTGAATATTCCCATTTTACCCGAGGCCACACCTCCCACCTACATATGCACACTTTATACAACTGACTGCAGTAGTCCAAGCTCACACTGTTCTGTTTGTTCCTCTCCCAGCGTCCTGTGCTCCAAGCAGTCCCTGACCAAAGATTAGGCAGGCCCCACCCAAGCCCTGCAGTGCCTGGCATCACCCAGGCAGGTCTTTGCTCTGTATCCACTGCCTACTGGCTTAAGTTTCTCTCTTTGCTTAGGCAAAGACCAAATACAGCTTCTAGTATTTTGGGCACAGTACATGTACAATGAACACTGGTGAACAAATAAAAGTCAATGTGGAAAAAAAATCACTGTTATACACAGGGCATTCTAAAGTGCGTGACAAACAACAAGCCTTGTAGACACAGCCCCAGCTCCCCAGCACCCTGACCTGAACATACCATGAGCACATCACCCCCTCCGAGGATCAGCGGGATCGACTCCGCCTGGATATCAGTAGGGAGACTGGGAGAGGACCAGGAGAAGGACTTTGTCAGTTAGGAAAGAAAACCATTCAGCCTAACTCAGTCATGCTAAACTTTAAATTTAAAAAAGAATTTCACTTGGTAAATGCAACCAATTTTTTAAAGCTAGAAACATGCTAAAGTTAGAAAGAAAATATTCCATAAGGTAAAGTCACCAGAAAAGCTCCATTTTGCTTACCCCACTAGACTAAAAACATGACATACTGCTTAAATCATAAAACATCCTTGGAAACAGGTATGCTTCTTTGTACTTACAGCCAATCCATCTCTTCTACAGCCTGGGCAATCTCAGGCATAACACCCATTTCTGCAAAGAAAAGGTAATTTTAAAAACCACAGACTAAACTCACCATAAATTACACTACTCTTAACATGACTTTTGACAAGTTAGCTGTGGAGGCACCGGTTATCCCAGAACTCGGGCGTTGAGGCAGGAGGCTCACCGTGAGTTCAAGGCCAGCGTGGGGACAGAGTGAGTTCAAAGATAGCCTGAACAGAATAGTGGGACCTGGCCTGGGGTGGGGGGAATGACAGACTCCAGGGAGGCTCAGATATAAGGGCTTTACTGCATGTGGCAGTGGTCCAAGAGTTTATATTTTATAGCCAGACTTCAATTTGAATTCAAGCTCTCACTTCTTAGCAAGTGACTTTGGGCAAAGCCATAAATCTGGCTTTTTTTCTACACAGAAACTATCTCCTAGAGACACAGAAGGCTACAGTTAATGATGGAGTAATGCAGCTGGCACACAGTTGTCACTCAGTATGTGTTGACCCCCAGAACTTGTGCACCTATTACAGGACTAACTAGTGAAAATCTACCAGAGTCAGGGGTTCCAGGTCAGCATTTCAGTTGTTTCATTTGTAGTAATGTAGCAGGTAAGTGATCTGGCTCTTCCGAGATCACAGGAATATCCTCAAGGATCTCAGAGAAATTAACAGACCACATTTTGCTGGTGGCTGTAATCAAAATTCTAGTTCACCAAAAAAGGAAAAAGCTGGTAAAAACTGGAAATGTTAGGGGTACATTTTTTTTAACTGCACATATATTTATAAGTAATTTGAGCTGGAGGCCAGGTCTAAAAGGACTGGTTGCTCCAGAGAGGGTTTTAATTTTATCAAATGAACTATACACAGGGCCATTAACCGGATTATTTAAACTTCTCCAAAGAAGTCATCTTTAAGCCTGCATTCATAAAATACAGTTTTCACTATTCACTATCTGTTCGTAAAGGTATGTATCCTTATAAAAAGTGAAGAATACTCAAATATTACCAAGCCCCATAAATTTTCTAATTCTGTGAAAAGGCACAAAGCAAATCTACAAAAGGCTTACATTCTTTGCAGAAGTAAATTTTCCTGCATGAAGTGAGCAGAATCATCACTTTCAAAAAAGAAAGTTCCTCTACTTCCAAAATATTCCCAAGAAAATCTACAAATAGACAATCAAAGACTAAAGGGGGAGAACCAGGCAGATTTTTCTAAGGTTTATGTCTATTATGGTCCAACCATATTCGTTCTAAACTCCCCCCCAAAAGTTGTAAGGGCGTTGTAGTCTTAAATAGGCTGCAAACTATTATGAGCTGAAGCTTTATAAAAAATTGTTTTATTACGAGCAGCAACCATGGATTTCTTTCAGCAAATTCCACACTGTGGTCAGGTGCTCTACATGTTTTCTTTGAAAAGATGTCTCTTCAAGTATAACGTTTTTGTTAAGGGAAAACCAGTAACGTTCACGTTCTTCACCTCTTCTTTTGTCTCCATTTCATGAAATCACACTCTCCTTCCAGTCCTCATTTTTTTTTGTCTTTTTCTTTTTTATCGGTACCAGGGATCGAACTCACGACCGCCTACTTGCAAGGCAGGTGCTTATGCCGCTGAGCTAAATCCCCAGCCCCCAGTGCTCATATTCTTGAAATATGTGCATGATTCCCTAACACTGGAATCTATAAAATAACAATCTCCAACTACTCTATGGATGTTGGCTCTAAAAATGTTTAGGTGAGAGATAAGGTATAAAAACCAGCAAGCAGTCTGAGCAGATTTGCGCAAGGCTCCTTTTGGAATATGTAAGGGTACCAAAGGCTCGCTGGAATGATTATATTTGGAATTTCTAATATTGATACAGAGGAAAACCGAAAATCATTCAATTCCACAGCAGCTAAGTCATCTTAGCAGGTTAAGAACATTAAAACAGCGCAGGCCTAACTTGGGATTATTCTACAAACCTATCCCATTTCGGGCTGAGTGGAGCTATGCAAACGTGGTAGGGGAGGCGAACGCACCGCAACGATCGCTCTCCCCGACTCCAGCGAGCCTAGGCTATGAGCCCGGGAGTCCGCATTCCCCTGCTTGGGCTCAGTGTTAGAGCGCACGCCGGCGTCACGAACACGGCGGTACAGTGGAGCCCAGACTGGCCCACGCGCTGCCAGAGCAGCAGCAGCCAAGACAAGGAGCCCCAGGGGTCTGTAGGGAACAACGCCCTCCGGCCGGCTGCGCCCCCACATCCTCCAACCAGCTGACCCCCGGCAGAGACCGGTAGCGACCACCCCCTTACCCCACCCCACCCCACCCCGGTCCCCAGCAACTGCCAACGCACCGGAGAAGGCCGCCATGTTTGCACGGTCCGCAGGGCTCCGTTGCGCACTGCTTTTGTCCACCCTGACGTGCCGTAGCGGTTCAGCGCGCACTTCCGGCCCCCCGGCCTTCTAGATTCCGATTTCCGGCTGAGGCAAAAAAGACCCGCGGGCCAGCAGTGCGCATGCTCCTGCCCGCCTTTGCGCCCCCCTCCCCCCGCCCTTTCCGCTCACCCACCCAGCACAAGCTCGTGTAGGTCTAAGTGGCCTGGGTGGGGCACTGCTAACCCTCCTGATAGCTAATACTCAGCGCACGCTATGTGTCATCAGTATCACCTTTCCTCACAGGAGAAAGCAGATGTTGGGTGGTTAGATGCCAGCAGTGCACCAGGCTGACCTGCTGTCTCCCTGGGTTCCCTGGCCAGGGACAGTAGTCCCGATCTGGGCAACGGGCTAAATTGATTACCTCGAAGCAGACACTCCTGACTGCCTGGCCACCCCTAGGTGTTAAATATGTTTGACAGAAATAATTAATGATTTAGATTTCTTTCCCTACCTTCAACAATGATGTAGAAATGATAATTTTGGGCTTGACTTCCAGGCAGTTTGGACTCCTTTCTCTTTGAGAAGATGAGAAATCCAATCAAACAATGAATCCTCCCCACCACTCGCTGTGCCTGGTGTTAAAATCTTGAAATGTACACCCCAAGATTAGGAAAGTTAGTTACTTCTCTAATGCCACAGACCTACTAAATGAAAACCAGGCATCTGGGCCTGACCCGCCTCACTTGGGCCCACTCTGTGCTCTGGTGTGACTCAGTATCACGGAGAAAGTCAAATGTTCCGCTGTGCTCACTAATTGGGATTCTACCTGTGCCACTTGCTGCTGTGTGATCTCAAGAAACTTTCTCTAAGCTTTAGTTTACTCTAAAGCATGGTATTCTCTCATAGGATTGTTATGAATTTTAATAAAACATATAAGGTCCTCAAAACTGATACAGTGACTCATATATGTGTTACTGTTGCATGTAACAAGAGTCACCTGAAACCAGAGGAAGGGTCTGAAGGTTCCCAAAGCTGTCATCTGTTAGCCAGGGCCCTTGCTTTAGTGATAATGGAAATTAAAACAGGCAATTGGCAGAAGAGTGAAGGAAAAAACTTTAACTAGAAAGTAAGAAAATAAAGAGAAGCACAGCTCTGACAAAGACCAAGTTGACCCCTTACCCAAAACAAAAACAAAAAATAAAAACAGAGAAGACAGGTGCCTTTGGTCACCAGTCACCTTAAACACATGAAGATGCAAGTGCAGAGACCCCGAGAGAGGTGCAGAAGTGCTATTGTGCTTTCCCTTCTCTGGAAAGAAGGTGATTTTCAGAGAGCTTCTCAGAGAAGCTTTGACCTCAAGAGTTCAAGTCCTGAGGCAGCAGAAAAGCAGAGCAGAGAGACAGTGAACGTCACTTTCCACAGCCACCAAGGACACGTCACAGGGAACCTTGCCAAGGGAGCAGCCTGCAGGGGCTGAATGATCTTGTAGTCTGTGTCGTCGTTGTCATTGTGTGCTGCCCCCCCCCCCAAAACCTGTTGCTTGTGGAACTAGCTACTGCCTCCTCTGCCCTGACCCATGCAGCTCTTGAAGAGACAAAGCTGGTGTCAGGTGGAGCACTTACTCTCCTGCTGGGAGAGAAGGAACTGTTCAACCACTGTAGCAAGTTTGTTTATTCACTCCCAAGAAGGATGTCAATTTCAACCCCCTGCCGAGCAACTTGTTTGCATGGCTGGCCTGGGCCCCTTGCTTTCTTGGTGCTGGAACAACTTGTTTACTTAGCTTGTTTGGGGCTCTCTGAGTTTGCAGGGCTGGCCTTGCTTTAGCCCCACACATGTGATCAATCTCCAGCTTCAAGGGCTCCCTAAGCTCCTGTACCAGGCCTTTCAGGAGAATCTCAGACCAACACACAGTGCATGCAGGAGGGTGGCCACATCCTCCCCACCAGATGCAGAGGAAACAGCTGCCCCCATCTATCCTTCCTTCTCCATGCCTGGAGGAGCAAGGCTGTGGGGCAGGCGGGCAACACTGTCCCATCACAGCCCTCTGTCTGGGAGCAGGCAGGGTGGGGGAGAAGCTACACCTTAATGAGAGCTGTCCATCTTCATTGTGATACTGAACCTCAGTTTCATTACAGAAACAAACTGGAAGTGCTGAGAGGAACCAGACAACTTTTAACCAGATGAGAATAAAAGCAAAGCTCTAGAAGCTGCCTGTAACAGCTGGAAGCTGCTGCGGTCCACACCAGTCATCCCCTGGCACTTTGGGAGACTGAAGCAGGAGGACTTCAAGTTGAAGCCCAGGCCTTGGGTGACTTATTGACTACACTGTCTCAAAATAGAAAGGGATAGGGATGTAGCTCAGCACAGAGCCCCTGTTTCAATCTCCTGAAACTAAAGCAACCAACCAAGAAAAGGATGCCAGGGACTTGACTTACTTCAGAAAAAGAAATTACAAGTAACCAATAAGGACCATTTAAGGCAATCAATAATAATTTCTGTTCACACTGAATTAAGTTCAGCTCCTGTAAAAGTTGCACATAAATGTCTGTGTGTTTGTTACACTGCCTCGCTAGTGTGAAATGGAATCCAGTGCAAGTGACCTCTGTACTGGCAGATATAAGGCCAGGTAGAGAAACCTCAGACAATCCCTTCACCAACCAGAAAATACAGTGCTGCCAGCCCAGTCTCCTTGGAACAGGCTGATTGAATAGCTGCCAACTAACAGAGATTTCTGGGGTCCCTGCCTGATGCTAGAAACCCAGTGAAATGGGAGACAGGCACCAAACTGCAGTGAGACAGGGAAGAGATTGTGTTGCACTTTTAAAACTCATAACTTGGAGTGAGGCATTGTGATCCAGACCTGAACTCCCAGCACTCAGGAGGCTGAGGCAGGAGGATTACCGAGCGTTCATGGCCACCTTGAGCTACCAAGTGTGGTACTGTGCCAAAAAAAAACCAAATGAAAACCTCATAACCTGGGCTTGCCCTGAGCATTTGTTTCTTTAACCTCACAGTAGACCCCTGTAGACCCCAGTTTTACAGAACTGGGTCCCTGGGACCACGTTGACCATGTGACAGTGGCTTTGCTGTGATGCACGTGGACTGTGCTCTGTGTCTGTGAGTTCGAAGTGCTGCTCCTTCTGCAGACATGGTTCTGCAAAGATGGCTTTCCATGCTCAGGGCGGTGTGCAGAGCACGGGCCTTGGACAGGACTCTGCTCAGCCCTGTGGCCACACCCAGGCTCAAATTTGTCCATCAGTGCTGTTGCCCAGACTTACCTTGGAAACTTGGGGAGACCCGTCTCAAAATAAATGTTTTTAAAGGGCTGGGGATGTAGCTCAGTGCAGAGGGCCTGGGTTCAGTCCCCTACCCCACCTTCCTGCCTTGGACGTAGCCACCTGAGGCTCAACACAAGAGCCTGAATAAACCTGTCCCCTAGTGTTGGCGTCGGGTACTGGGCCAGGGACAAGCACAGTGACTCTGACAGTTACTGCCCACCTGTGTTTGGAGGGGTGGCGTGGGACATCTAACATCTAAACTTCCTCTTTTCTTTCCTGCGTTTCCCACAGTGTTCTGAGCTGAACACCAAGCATTGAGGTTTATGCTTTTGTCAAAATGAGCTGTCAGGATCCGTGCCAGGTCTATTGCAATGCAGCATCATTCTTGCTGGCCTGGCATTGGCCTTATGGAAAGGGCCAGAGGGGCCTGGCAGACCCATCCAGAGGGCTCTAGCCCACATCTCCAGAGAGATGGCCGTAAAGTCCTTGGCTCCACATATGTGGAGGGAGGGGGTAAAGGCAGCTTGCAGCCTCTGCCCAGGACTGTAAAGCACAAGAGAGCTCACACTTGTCGGCTCCTTACAGGCCAGCCAGGTAGGGCCAGGATTCCTGGCTGGGTCCAAAAGGCCGGCAGGCATGAGTGTTGCCCTCCCTCAGTGCAGCCACTCCAGGGGCTCATCAGCCCCATAAGTGATGCTGGGAATCCGTGGGGAAGCAGAGCAGCGCATGGGGAAGGAGCAGAACATGGCCCCCTGGGGTGAGGGTTTAAGGACAGACGAGACCCATCACCCTAAGTCGCCAGGGTGTCTGAGTTCCGTTGCTTCAGCATGGACACACTGCATCTATACCTCCATCTGTGATGCTGCTTGTTAGCAAGGCTGGTTTGTGGCTGGGCGTTGGTGGCGCACACCTATGATCCCAGTACCCTGAGAGGCTGAGGCAGGAGGATTGCAAGTTTGAGCCAGTCTAGGGAATTGAGCAATTTAGTAGACCTTGTCTCAAAATATAAAAAGAGCTGGAATATAGCTCTGTGCAAAGGTCCTGGGTTCAATCTCATAAACCACACAACAAAACAGTACAGAACAAAACAAAATAGAATAAGGCTTGTGATTATTTGTTTGCAGGGTCAAACAAGACAACTTGCTGTGTTAAAAAGGGAGCAGGAGCCAGGAATGGTGGCACACACTTGTAATCCCAGCACTCAGGAGGCTGAGGCAGGAGGATCCTTGCAAGTTTGTGACCAACTGGGGTACAAAGTGAGCCAAGGCCAATTTGAACACATAGTAACACCCTGTCTCAATAAGAAAAAAAAAAATAAGTAATAAAAAGGATGATTCAGAATTCTTTAAAATTCCCGGGGATGATAATTCTAAATACACAAGTTTATACTACCTGGTGTCTATGCTGATACAATAATAAAAGTGGGAATTTGTGAAGGCTGCTTCATGTGTAGCTCTGAATAATGGTTGCCTAATAAATAACCCCCAAATTGGAGAGCTAAAAACATGCATTTATGGGGGCTGGGGATTTAGCTCAGTGGCATAAGCGCCTACCTTGCAAGCAGGCAGTCATGAGTTCGATCCATGGTACTGAGAAAAAGGAAAAAGAAAAAAAAAAACCATGCATTTATGCCAACTATGGTGATAAATTCTGGTAACCCCAGCATTCTGGGAGGCTGAGGCAGGAGGAGCTCAAATTGGAGCCCAACCAGGGCAACTTAGCAATTTAGTGAGACCCTGTCTTGAAACAAAAAAATAAAAAACGGCTGAGGGTGTGACTTGGTGTGAAGGCCCTGGGTTCAGTCCCCAGTACTGTAAAAAACCA